ATATATATATATATATATCTAAATTCAAAAAATATGTTTATCTATTTCTCGTTCGTTCTCGAAGTACAAGCCTCGCAGTATGCCTCCGCAATACATTGCAAATACATGGCGTGGGACAAATTGTGGGTGATAGAAGTGATAAAAGTGTCTGTCATGGTAATCCGGTTTGTTTGTTCAGGACTTCGTAAAATGAATAGCAATAGAAAGGAAGCTAGTTTTAAATCAGTAATCAACGCGAGATTCAAACATCTATGCACTTTCTCAATAAGCATCGCACGTGGGTGTGAAACTGTGAGTTTCGTAATTACAGGTTTACTTCTAGGACATTATCTTGCGCGCGAATCAAACGGTGCAAACTGCACCTGAAAAATTTCTTACGAACTGGTGGGCAGTTATTGCAACGCGGAAAGTGTCCCACGCGAAGTCCGCTAGGCAGCTGACATAGACATCTATTCTGACCGACTGCATATCTCAGCCATGTCCATTGTTTGCAAGTAGGCCTGCATGAGAATGCAATAAAATCGTCCCCTGTCATTGATATGCGGACCACGCTTAAGATGAATTCAGTTAAACAAACTAGAATCTTGCAAGATTTCTTTTTATACTTTATTATATATTTAATACTCGGTTAATACTCAAAGCTCTGTATTTATATTTGTATTGAATTAAGTGCACAGAAGAAAGTTTTCTTTTCAAGACACTATCGTGCTAAATAATGATATTTACGTGAGTCTACTAGAGAATAGAATAGTATCTGTAATCGCATCAAAACATTGGATGTTAACTCATTTTTCAATGTATTATAATATTATGAATTATATACGTTTGTTAATTCTAATTATAACACTTTTAATTATATATGATGAAAATTTACGAATATATTTAGTTCATGACTAAATCTTTAAAACTTTAGATGTTGTTATCGGACAACTTTTTCAAAAAATCGAGCAACAAGAAAAAAATCTAAAATGATTTTGAATAATATAATCTCAATGATTAGGGCAAATGAATTTCTAATTAAGTCCGAGAGATAATCAATTCAATAACTTTTAAAATAATTTGTAAGCTCTGTTTTGAACGAAGCAATTGAATGAAGAATTTTACTTTGTCGATATAATAATATTTATACGATTTATTTCAAAAGCGCAAGTTTATGTAATGTAACGAAGATATGTATCAACGAAGATATATATATATTCCAAAACACTACGTAATTATACATATTTCCAGGTCATAGTTGAGATAGGTTAGGCCTCAACTGCGTTTAGATTACGCTGGCATTCGTGCACCGTTGTCCGCTTTGGTCCCACCACTTACCTGTGATCCAACTTGTGTTTTCTATAGATGTAACCCACGTGTTCATACCGCGCGCACACGCACACGCGTATCCGTATGCAAGGATTTAAACGGCTTTCACTCTCTAAGTGTTGGTGAGTCAACGACAACTTGGCAGGGGAACATACTATATTCCCCGATTATATACCACATCCAGGGCCGTAAGAATACTCAATTCTTTGACGTATTTTTAAATTGCAGATTTAAATAGATTTCAATTTTTAAGGGGAAAAAAATGTACATTTTTTTCTAGGGCGGAACAACAATCTGCATGATTACTTATATTTAAATAAATGTTATATAATCGATTATAATTCAACTTTTAAATTAATGTC